CTACCACTACCAGTCACCAAGATCACTACCACTACCAGTCACCAAGATCACTACCACTACCAGTCACCAAGATCACTACCACTACCAGTCACCAAGATCACTACCACTACCAGTCACTAAGATCACTATCACTACCAGTCACTAAGATCACTACCACTACCAGTCACTAAGATCACTATCACTACCAGTCACCAAGATCACTACCACTACCAGTCACTAAGATCACTATCACTACCAGTCACCAAGATATTCACCATCATTCACTCCAATACCAGTCACCTAGATATTATCCTTCTTTCACTACCACTACCAGTCACCATGACATTCACTACCATTACCAGTCACCAAGATATTCACCATCATTCACTATCATTATCAGTCACCAAGATATTCACCATCATTCACTACAACTCCCAATCTCTAAGACATTCACTACCAATACCACTCACCAAGATATTCACCATCATTCACTATCACCTCCAGTCACCAAGACATTCACTATTATTCACTACCACTACCAGTCACCAAGAAACTCACCTCAACTATAAGTTACGAAGACATTCACCTGCACTGCCAGGCATCAAGACATCATCCCCCACTTTCACCATCAGTCACCGTCTTCACCATTAACGTCCAAATTCCATCCTCCCTAAAATTAAAGATATAGCATATATCATCATTTAAGGCATGGGACTAACTAACTGAATTTAAAAGATATAGAATGGTTCTGTCAAGGATGGTACTGGTGAGGTCCTGCTTGGTCGGGCTCATCTTCGGCCTAACTGATGGTTTAGATGGCAACTTCCTCGCCATGGCGCCCCTCGATGTTGATTCCCCGTCCAAAATGTTTAACGCCAGCTGGCAATGTAGGGCGCTTCCCCATGTGGACCCCACAGCCCCTCGTGTGGACCCCGTGGCCCCTGACTTGGACACCGTGGCCCCTGACTTGGACACCGTGGCCCCTAACTTGGACACCGTGGCCCCTGACTTGGACACCGTGGCCCCTGACTTGGACACCGTGGCCCCTGACTTGGACACCGTGGCCCCTAACTTGGACACCGTGGCCCCTGACTTGGACACCGTGGCCCCTGACATGGACACCGTGGCCCCTAACTTGGACACCGTGGCCCCTGACTTGGACACCGTGGCCCCTGACTTGGACACCGTGGCCCCTAACTTGGACACCGTGGCCCCTGACTTGGACACCGTGGCCCCTGACTTGGACACCGTGGCCCCTGACTTGGACACCGTGGCCCCTGACTTGGACCTAATGACCCCTGACACGGACCCCACTGCCCTTGACACGGACCCCACTGCCCTTGACACGGACCCCACTGCCCTTAACACGGACCCCACTGCCCTAGACATGGACCCCACTGCCCTTGACACGGACCCCACTGCCCTTGACACGGACCCCACTGCCCTAAACATGGACCCCACTGACTTTGACACGGACCCCACTGCCCTTGACACGGACCCCACTGCCCTTGACACGGACCCCACTGCCCTTGACACGGACCCCACTGCCCTAGACATGGACCCCACTGCCCTTGATACGGACCCCACTGCCCTTGACACGGACCTTACTGCCCTACACATGGACCCCCGTCCGGATGACACACTGTCCATATCAAACGGAACACAGATGGAGAGCCAGCTAGAACATTTACGAGAGCATCTGATGAAGGTGCAGGGGATGATGTTGCAGGCGCAGCATGAGATGGGAGAGATAATAGAGATAGCAGAGGGGCAGCATAGGAAGATTCGGGACATTCTGGAAGATGCTGATAGTGGGCCACTGACCCTTCACGAGGTGGCTGGCCTTATCTTTATTATGTTACTCTTTCTCTTCACCCACAAGAAGTAAATCATGGCGTGATAGTGCAAACAAATCACCGTTGTGGGCATAGCAGTGGCAACAAATTAGCAATGTGGACGTTACTTGTGTCAATATATGTTTATGTGTGTGTGTGTGTGTGTGTGTGTGTGTGTGTGTGTGTGTGTGTGTGTGTGTGTGTGTGTGTGTGTGTGTGTGTGTTTGTGTGTGTGTGTACTCACCTAGTTGTGCTTGCGGGGGTTGAGCTCTGGCTCTTTGGTCCCGCCTCTCAACTGTCAATCAACAGGTGTACAGGTTCCTGAGCCTATTGGGCTCTATCATATCTACACTTGAAACTGTGTATGGAGTCAGCCTCCACCACATCACTTCCTAATGCATTCCATTTGTCAACCACTCTGACACTAAAAAAGTTCTTTCTAATATCTCTGTGGCTCATTTGGGCACTCAGTTTCCACCTGTGTCCCCTAGTGCGTGTGCCCCTTGTGTTAAACAGCCTGTCTTTATCAACCCTGTCAATTCCCTTGAAGATCTTGAATGTGGTGATCATGTCCCCCTAACTCTTCTGTCTTCCAACGAAGTGAGGTTTAATTCCTGTAGTCTCTCCTCGTAGCTCATACCTCTCAGCTCGGGTACTAGTCTGGTGGCAAACCTTTGAACCTTTTCCATTTTAGTCTTATGCTTGACTAGATATGGACTCCATGCTGGTGCCGCATACTCCAGGATTGGTCTGACATATGTGGTATATAATGTTCTGAAAGATTCCTTACACAAGTTTCTAAAGGCCGTTCTTATGTTAGCCAACCTGGCATATGCTGCTGATGTTATTCTCTTGATATGAGCTTCAGGGGACAGGTCTGGCGTGATATCAACCCCCAGGTCTTTCTCTCTCTCTGACTCTTGAAGTATTTCATCTCCCAAGTGATACCTTGTATCTGGTCTCCTGCTTCCTACCCCTATCTTCATTACATTACATTTGCTTGGATTAAACTCTAACAGCCATTTGCTCGACCATTCCTGCAGCTTGTCCAGGTCTTCTTGAAGCCTCAAGCTGTCCTCCTCTGTCTTAATCCTTCTCATAATTTTGGCGTCGTCAGCAAACATTGAGAGGAATGAGTCTATACCCTCTGGGAGATCATTTACGTATATCAGAAACAGGATAAGTCCAAGTACAGAGCCCTGTGGCACTCCACTGGTGACTTCACGCCAGTCTGTGTATGTGTGTGTGTGTGTGTGTGTGTACTCACCTAGTTGTACTCACCTAGTTGTGTTTGCGGGGGTTGAGCTCTGGCTCTTTGGTCCCGCCTCTCAACCGTCAATCAACAGGTGTACAGATTCCTGAGCCTATCGGGCTCTGTCATATCTACACTTGTGTGTGTGTGTGTGTGTGTGTGTGTGTGTGTGTGTGTGTGTGTGTGTGTGTGTGTGTGTGTGTGTGTGTGTGTGTGTGTGTGTGTGTGTGTGCGCGCGCGCGCGTGTGTGTGTGTACTCACCTAGTTGTTCTTGTAGGGTATAACATCGGCTCCTTGTCCTGACTCCTTCCTAGTGCTATATAGTCATAACGACTTGGCACTTTCCCCTCATAATTCCTTGCTTCCTCCGGCTCCTTGGTGCGGTCAACCACTTGGACTGGACAGTAGAGCGAATGGGTCGCTTCATGCATCTCGGCGTCCAATCCCTGACAGTCCAAGTGGTTGGGAACTATTTCTTTCGTCCGTCCTATATAGCGCTAATTTAGTGGTTATAGTTCAGTACTTTCTGATAATTACTTTGATCCTGCCTCTCAGCTGTCAATAAACTGGTGTGCAAGTTCCTGGGCTGTTGGGCTATTATATCAGATGATGATGACCCTTCCCAACCACTTGGGCTGGACGGTAGAGCGACGGTCTCGCTTCATGCAGATCAGCGTTCAATCCCCGACCATCCAAGAAGTTGGGCGTCATTCATTTCCCCCGTCCCATCCCAAATCCTTATCCTGAAAACTCAGGATCCAGCTGACAACACGGTTGGATGCTAGCCAGTATATATTCATGTGCCTCCCCATCGTGGGCCTCGCCTTCATATGCCTCACCAACGTGAGCCTCACCTTCATGTGCTTCACCATTGTGGGCCTCACCTTCGTGGGCCTTACCATCATGGGCCTCACCATCGTGTGCCTCACCGTCCTGTGCCTCACCATCGTGGGCCTCACATTCATATGCCTCATCTTCATGTGCTTCACTACCGGGGGCCTCACCTTCGTGGGCCTCACCTGCGTCTGCCTCACCTTCGTCTGCCTCACCTTCGTCTACCTCACCTTCGTCTTTCTCACCATCGTGTCCCTCACCTTCGTGTGCCTCACCATCGTGGGCCTCACCATCGTGTGCCTCACCATCGTGGGCCTCACCTTCGTGTGCCTGACATTCGTGGGCCTCACCTTCGTGTGCCTCTTCTTCGTCTGCCTCACATTCGTCTGCCTCACCTTCGTCTACCTCACCTTCGTGTTCCTCACCATCGTGTGCCTCACCATCGTGTGCCTCACCATCGTGGGCCTCACCATCGTGGGCCTCACCATTGTGGGACTAACCTTCGTGTTCCTCACCTTCGTCTGCCTCACCTTCGTCTGCCTCACCTTCGTCTACCTCACCTTCGTCTTTCTCATCATCGTGTTCCTCACCTTTGTGGGCCTCACCTTCGTGGGCCTCTCCTTCGTGTGCCTCACATTCGTGGGCCTCACTTTCGTGTGCATCACCGCCGTGGGCCAAACCTTCATGTGCCTCACCATCGTGGGCCCTCTGCATCGTGGGCCTCACCATCGTGGGCCTCACCTTCGTCTGCCGTACCTTCGTCTACCTCACCTTAGTCTTTCTCACCATCGTGTCCCTCACCTTCGTGGGCCTCAACATCGAGGGTCTCACCATCGTGTGCCTCACCATCGTGGACCTCACCTTCCTTGGCCTCACCTTCGTGTGCCTCACTTTTGTGGGCCTTTACCTTCGAGTTCATCACCATCGGGTGCCTCACCTTCGTGGGCCTCACCTTCGTGTGCCTCACCATCGTGGACCTCACCTTCCTTGGCCTCACCTTCGTGTGCCTCACTTTTGTGGGCCTTTACCTTCGAGTTCATCACCATCGGGTGCCTCACCTTCGTGGGCCTCACCATATATGTGCCTCACCATTGTGGGCCTCACCTTATATGAGCCTCACCATCGCGGGCACCACCATCATGTGCCTCACCTTCGAAGGCCTCACCATCGTGTGCCTCACCATCGTGGACCTCACCATCGTGTTCCTCACCTTCGTGTGCCTCACCTTCGTGGGCCTCATCATCGTAGGCCTCACCATCGTATGACTCACCATCCTGGGGCTCACCATCGTGGGACTCACCTTCATGTGCCTCACCTTCGTGGGCCTCACCAACGTGTGCCTCACCATCGTGTTCCTCACCTTCGTGTGTCTCACCATCGTGTGCCTCACCATCGTGTGCCTCACCATCGTGTGCCTCACCTTCGTGTGCCTCACCTTCGTCGGACTCACCATCGCGGGCCTCACCTTCGTGTGCCTCACCATCGTGGGCCTCACCTTCAAATGCCTCACCATCGTGGGCCTCACCTTCGTGGGGCTCACCGTCGTGGGATTCACCTTCGAGTGCCTCACCTTCGTGTGCCTCACCTTCGTGGGCCTCACCTTCGTGGGCCTCACCTTCGTGGGCCTCACCATCGTGTGCCTCACCATCGTGGGGCTCACCATCGTGGGACTCACCTTCATGTGCCTCACCTTCATGTGCCTCACCATCGTGGGCCTCACTATCATGGGCCTCATCTTCGTGTGCCTCACCGTCGTAGGCCTCACCATCGTGTGCCTCACCTTCGTGTGCCTCACCTTCGACGGACTCACCATCGCGGGCCTCACCTTCGTGTGCCTCACCATCGTGGGCCTCACCTTCAAATGCCTCACCATCGTGGGCCTCACCTTCATGTGCCTCAGGATCGTGCGCGTCTCCTTCATGTTTTTCACCATCGTGGGCATCACCATCATGGGCCTCTCCTTCATTTGCCTCACCATCGTGGGCCTCACCTGCATGTGCTTCACCATTGTGGGCCTCACCTTCGAGGGCCTTACCATCGTGGGCCTCACCATCGTGTGCCTCACCATCATGTGCATCACCATCGTGTGCCTCACCATCGTGAGCCTCACATTCATGTGCCTCACCTTCATGGGCTTCACTATCGTGGGCCTCCCCATCGTGGGCCTCACTTGCGTCTGCCTCACCTTCGTCTGCCTCACCTTCGTCTACCTCACCTTCGTCTTTCTCACCATCGTGTCCCTCACCTTCGTGTGCCTCACCATCGTGGGCCTCACCATCGTGGGCCTCACCATTGTGGGACTAACCTTCGTGTTCCTCACCTTCGTCTGCCTCACCTTCGTCTGCCTCACCTTCGTCTGCCTCACCTTCGTCTACCTCACCTTCGTCTTTTTCACCATTGTGTCCCTCACCTTCGTGTGCCTCACCGTCGAGGGCCTCACCACTGTTGGCCTAACCTTCGTGGGCCTCACCTTCGTGGACCTCTCCTTTGTGTGCATCACCAGTGTGAGCCTCACCTTCGTAAGCCTCACATTCTTGTGCCTTACCTTCGTGTGCATCACCGTCGTGGGCCTCACCTTCTTGTGCCTCACATTCGTGTGCCTCACCTTCGAGTGGATCACCATCGGGTGCCTCACCTTCGTGGGCCTCACCTTATATGTGCATCACCAGGGCATGTTTAGCACTCCAATAAACAACATGAAGGTGGAAGATCCAGTCAATTTCTTTATGCGGGATATTCAAACCCCTGTAAATATAACTGATATAAACACGAGCGCACTAAATTTTGAAAAAGAAATTGAAAACATGCCCATGCACTCGGCCCCAGGTCCAGGCTCATGGAATTCAATATTTATAAAGAAATGCAAAGTGCCGGTAGCACAGGCAATCAGTATAGTGTGGAGGAAGAGCTTATACACGGGGGAGATACCAGATGCACTTAAAGTAGCAGACATAGCCCCTTTACACAAGGGAGGGGAGCAAAGCATTGGCAAAACATTATAGACCAGTTGCACTAACATCGCACATCATAAAAGTATTTGAGAGAGTGATTAGGAGTCAGGTCACCAATTTCATGGAGACCAATGACCTTCACAACCCAGGCCAACATGGATTTCGAGCGGGAAGATCTTGCCTCTCACAGCTACTTGAGCACTACGACAAAGTCACTGAGGCATTAGAAGAAAAACAGAATGCTGATGTGATATACACGGACTTCGCAAAGGCTTTCGATAAATGTGACCATGGCGTGATAGCACACAAAATGAAGTCAATGGGAATAACCGGTAAAGTAGGACGCTGGATACTCAGTTTTCTGTCAAACAGGACTCAGCGAGTAACGGTCAACCATATAAAATCTAGTCCAAGTGCAGTGAAAAGCTCTGTACCTCAGGGTACAGTCCTTGCACCGCTGCTTTTCCTTATTCTCATATCAGATATAGACAAAAATACAAGTCACAGCTTCGTATCATCCTTTGCAGATGACACAAAAATCAGTATGAAAATTACCTCGGCTGAGGACATTGAAAAACTTCAAGCTGATATTAATAAAGTTTTCGACTGGGCATCAGAAAATAACATGATGTTTAACAGTGATAAATTCCAGGTACTCAGGTACGGTAAAAATGAGGACCTTAAACATAATACAGAGTACAAAACACAATCAAATGTACCCATAGTAGGAAAACAGCATGTAAAGGATTTGGGAATAATAATGTCTGACGACCTAACGTTTAAGGAGCATAATCAAGCAAATATTGCGACAGCCAGAAAAATGATAGGATGGATTACGAGAACTTTCAAATCCAGGGATCCCATCACAATGGTTGTACTCTTCAAGTCACTTGTGTTGTCCCGTCTTGAGTACTGCTCAGTACTCACTTCCCCCTTCAGAGCAGGAGAGATTGCTGAAATAGAGGGAATACAGAGAACATATACGGCACGCATAGACGCAATAAAGCACCTAAATTATTGGGATCGTCTCAAAGCCCTCCAAATGTACTCACTAGAAAGAAGACGAGAGAGATATCAAAGAATATACACCTGGAAGATACTGGAGGGCCAAGTACCAAATCTACACAGTAAAATAACAACGTACTGGATTGAACGATATGGAAGAAAATGTAGAATAGAACCAGTGAAGAGCAGAGGTGCCATAGGCACAATCAGAGAACACTGTATAAACATCAGAGGTCCGCGGTTGTTCAACGTCCTCCCAGCAAGCATAAGAAATATTGCCGGAACAACCGTGGACATTTTCAAGAGGAAACTAGATTTATTCCTCCAAGGAGTGCCGGACCAACCGGGCTGTGGTGGGTATGTGGGCCTGAGGGCCGCTCCAAGCAACAGCCTGGTGGACCAAACTCTCACAAGTCAAGCCTGGCCTCGGGCCGGGCTTGGGGAGTAGAAGAACTCCCAGAACCCCATCAACCAGGTATCAAACAGGTATCAACCATCGTGGGCCTTACCTTCATGTGCTTCACCATCGTGGTCTTCACCATCGTGGGCTTCACCTTCGTGTGCCTCATCTTCGTGTGCCTCACCTTCCTGCGCCTCACCGTCGTGGGCCTCACTATCGTGGGCCTCACCATCGTGGACCTCACCATCGTCGGCCTCACCTTCAAGTGCCTTACCATCGTGGGCTTCACCATCGTGGGGCGTCACCATCGTGGGCCTCACCATCGTGGGCTTCACTTTCGTGTGCCTCACCATCGTGGGCCTCACCTGCGTAGGTCTCACCATCGTCTGCCTCACCTTCGTGTGCCTCATCTTCGTATGCCTCACCTTCCTGCGCCTCACCGTCGTGGGCCTCACCATCGTGTGCCTCACTATCGTGGGCCTCACCATCGTGGACCTCACCATCGTCGGCCTCACCTTCAAGTGCCTTACCATCGTGGGCTTCACCATCGTGGGGCGTCACCATCGTGGGCCTCACCATCGTGGGCTTCACTTTCGTGTGCCTCACCTTCGTGGGCCTCACCTGCGTAGGTCTCACCATCGTGTGCCTCACCTTCGTGTGCCTCATCTTCGTATGCCTCACCTTCGTGTGCCTCACCATCGTGGGCCTCACCATCGTGTGCCTCACCATCGTGGGCCTAACCATCGTCGGCCTCACCATCGTGGGCCTCACCTTCATGTGCCTAACCATCGTGGGCCTCACCTTCATGTGCCTCACCATCGTGGCCCTCACCTTCATGTGCCTCACCATCGTGGGCCTCACCTTCATGTGCCTCACCATCGTTGGCCTCACCTTCAGGTGCCTCACCATCGTGGGCTTCACTTTCGTGTGCCTCACCATCGTGGGCCTCACCTGCGTATGCCTCACCATCGTGTGCCTCACCTTCGTGTGCCTCATCTTCGTATGCCTCACCTTCCTGCGCCTCACCGTCGTGTGCCTCACCATCGTGTGCCTCACTATCGTGGGCCTCACCATCGTGGACCTCACCATCGTCGGCCTCACCTTCAAGTGCCTTACCATCGTGGGCTTCACCATCGTGGGGCGTCACCATCGTGGGCCTCACCATCGTGGGCTTCACTTTCGTGTGCCTCACCATCGTGGGCCTCACCTGCGTAGGTCTCACCATCGTGTGCCTCACCTTCGTGTGCCTCATCTTCGTATGCCTCACCTTCGTGTGCCTCACCATCGTGGGCCTCACCATCGTGTGCCTCACCATCGTGGGCCTAACCATCGTCGGCCTCACCATCGTGGGCCTCACCTTCATGTGCCTAACCATCGTGGGCCTCACCTTCATGTGCCTCACCATCGTGGCCCTCACCTTCATGTGCCTCACCATCGTGGGCCTCACCTTCATGTGCCTCACCATCGTTGGCCTCACCTTCAGGTGCCTCACCATCGTGGGCCTCACTGTGAGGAGATGGTTCACCAGCTCACTTACAATAGTGCTCTTATGCCTGTGGGAGCCAGTACACTTGTTAAGTGCACTTGTTAAGTGGGCGGACTTAAGTTTGGTAACCAGCAACCGAAACATCTAGTGTTTGGGCTCATGTGAGAGCCCCAGTCATCAGCAGTCCATAAATGTTACCCTGGCCGGGGTGGCATGTCTGTGGACAGTGCTAGAGCTGATAGCATCATCTCATTGTATGGCTTTGAGGCGAGACTCGACTTTGCGCGGGAACAGCTAGGCCCAGGCGTGGGTGAGCTGTGGGCCTCCCGCGCTCGCTGGCTACTTGAGTCGTTGTCATGGAAACAGCCGCCATCTTAGTAAACATCTTGAGCCGCCATGTTGGTCGGCCATCTTGGAGTTGCCCTAGGGGCTATGCTACACCGTCGCTGATTGGATGAGAGGGGTAGGCCGCTGTATGCCTTCCTCTCATTGGTTATTTCGAGAAGGACGCGGGGAGCGTCGGTGTGAGCATCATTCTGAACCCAGCTGCCACTTTGTCAAGACGCTTCCTGTACTCAATTCGGCCAAATTGAAGTATAGGGCGTCGTGGTGGCTGGACTACTCAACTGCTGATGCTTCCTGCTTCACCAACGACAGCGGTCGTCACAGAATCCGGCCGAAGTCGTCGCTTGGAGGGGTTTAAGACATTGTGTACAGTGGGTAGAGGTACAGTGATCTGGGATCGTGGGGAATGTGCATACGAGCAGTAACGGACTCGTAGATCCCATACCAGTGTTGATTAGACTTGCTAGTGCTCTGTAGCAGTCGATGGGAACGGGGAAATTCGTGTCAGTGTTAAGGCAGATTTCCCATGTTTGTGTGAGACGCTATCGTTGTGCGCGTCACCTGGGTACGAACGCTACACTTCACCGGTGGGTCGAGGGTGCGAGCCGAGCCGTGTGTTGAGTGGGAGGGGTTCGAGTGTGCGCCAATTTTTCGAATAAATACCACGTAAGGTATTACCGCCGCCTACGCCACCCTGAGCGAGCCAGCCACCTATAGCGGGGTGCCTGATGTATGAGAATGGTGTGTAGCCGGCAGTGTGAATGAGTAAGTACCTATGTGTGTATTTCTGGTGATCAGTTAGTCTCTAAAAGCTTGAATTCGAGGTCAAGTGTTCCGTCACATTGTCACGCAGCACCTGTTCAGGTGGAGTGAAGTGTGGGCGAGGAGATAATCACCTTTGTTGTCATCTTGTCAGTCCAGAGGGACTTACGTCTGGTGTACACAGACGTACAGTGTGTGTGTGTGTGGGTACACACGGGAACAGAGTATACATAGATTAGCCAAGGACTGAGAGGATGTCCATGTAATAATTATATTATTTCATTGTGGTAATCATTTTTGATCGTCCGTGGGACGGAGTGATATCATTTCCATGTGTGGTCTTGCAGGTGTGGAATTCCAACACTGAGCGCTCAGGTATGTGTAACGCCAGTGATTCCTGGCAATGATTATTGTGGAGTGTACCACAGTGTGGTCTTAATTTCTTGTATTGTTCCCAGGGCCGTGACAAGTGTGATTTATATTTATATATATATGTATTAACGTAATTTTGGTAGAATTTGGTGAGTGACGAGGCTGGCTGGAGAGACCGCCACCGCTCTGTCGAGTAAGGTAACTCTCGAGAGTGTTTATCGACATGCGTGATCGATAAATCACTCACCCATGTGATTTAGGAGTGCGAGATCTCCTTAGTGTTCCCAATAACGTTTGATAGCTGTAGGCTACATGTGTCAGCAGTAATTATATATATATATATATATATATATATATATATATATATATATATATATATATATATATATATATATATATATATATATATATATATATATATATATATATATATATATATATATATATATATATATATTTGTTTTTAGTCGCATATAGTATATATATCAGGCTTGTTTGCATATATATATATAATCGTAGTGTCACGGTGCCCAGTGTTATTGTGTTATTTACTGTGTGGTGATTGAAATATATTGACCTATGTTCTAGGGGTTATTGAGAGCACTGGGGTCATTTGCAACAGTAAGTAAGTGTGTGCAGTATTCTAATATTTGGAAATTAGAGTACTTGCCGTGTGTGTTATTGCAAAGGGGTTGTTATTTGATGGTGATTGTTGCTAGTGTTGAGCATCACCGTATTTGATTGCAGTTCAGTAAGTCATTGTGGGGCTGGGTTCTAGAGGGTTCATGTCCTGTATGTTATTTTACTAGGTGCTGCAGTATTGTCATTGCAACCGGATTGTAACGTAAATCACTGTGATTTGTCATTGTCGTTGGTGAACTCGGCTGTAGACGAGTACTTGGGTACACATATATTCTCCTGTTATCTGGTAGGACATTGAAGTCCAATATTCAGTGAGGTGATTGCGAGGCAATTAATATAATGTAGCCAAGGGAACTCCCATTGCTTTAAGAGAATTTGTTCTTTGACAATTTGAGTAACGTAGAATACGTTTGGGTTAATTTACTTTCCTGCAAGCAGCTACGGAAGTCTCGAGGAGCCTAGCCATCAGCCAGATAAGAATTAGAGTATTGTCTGTCGTAATTAACGGTCAGTGGGTCGGGTAATTGACGTGTTTCAGGAAGTCAAAGTAATTAACCTCGATCCTAGTTTGATCGACTCACACGAAGGCTCCATTGTTCCATTAACGTAACGTCGTTATTTATCTGCCCGGAAGTACCGGCACTTGATTGACTCGTGGGAGGAGTAACGTCATTTTAGAATAACGTAAACGTGGTGCTAATTACTGTTATTAGCCACCTGAATTGGTCTGAGTATGGAAGGCTCAGACGGAATTCATACCTTAATGTAAATTGCTGAGCCAGTGTGAAAGGTTGCGTATTTTAATTGTTTAATTATTGATCTTGAGGATAGTAATTAATTACTCTAAAGGTAATCACGAGTGATTACCGTTCTCTTAGCACTTTGGACATTGTAAATCAGAGTTTACCATCGCTGAGTGATTAGTAACCGATTAACGTAAATTAACGTAACTAGTAAAGAGATTAATCAGCTGTCTGGTAGTACAGGGATTAATGGGATTTTCTCACTGAATGCTCGACGGGTAGAGTGTTGTGTAATTTCCGCGTTACTAGTGACAGTTGTAAGAGTTATTAATTTAACGTTGTGTTATTAACGTAAATGTTATTGTGTTATTAACGTAAATCAATTGTTATTGATTGTTGATCGTCCGTGGGACGGAGTGTTAACGTAAGGATTAATTTGAGGAAGGGTGCTGGAGTTGCCAGTGAACCCATTAGTTATTGTTGTCATTGAAAGACTACTGATTTGATTGCATTGCAACCACTATTGCAGGTGTAGACTGCACTGAGGCGTAGAACAGTTAGGAGGTTACTGGAGACGTGTTTCAGAACCTACTGTGTCATTTGTTGTAATTGTGATTATAGATCTGTTAGTTCTTGTTTCTTGTTGATTCCTCTGTGGTCACGCTTATGTTCGAGTTAGTTCATTATGCAGTCCGAGGGGCTGGTGTCTAGCTGTCATTGATAGTGTCACAGGAAGGATTTCGAGTAACGTCATTGACATTTCTTTTTGTTTTGTTGTAGTAGTTAGTACTTTATTGAATAAACTAAGTTGTTATGGTTAACACTGTCTTTTCGTTACACCCCCACACATTATTATTGTTATGCAAATGTTCTTCACACTCGACTAATAAAATTGAGACTAATTCTGAGCTTTGGATCAAATATACGGCACCACACAACAATAAATTATTGTTGTGAGAGCCCGTGACCTACTCGTTAGATTCGCTTTGGCGAATGGCGAAGGTCGGCGGCCTAGTGGAGGGGATTTCAATTTTCATTGGGGTCTCGGCGTTTGCTCGCGCCTAGTCAATTGTTCATACATGGTCCCAAAGTGAGGAATGAGCTGTTTACTACACTGGTGTGTTAGCTAAGCAAGTCCTTCCTCAGGCGACCTAGTTGAATATCACGACAGGAATAAAGGTTAAAGAATAAAGAAAATTCTTAGAAATTTTCCGAGCTAAAATTCCTTATACCAATTTCATTTTATTCCAAAACTTCTCACAAGTCACATCATAAAACTCTCACGTGGGCCTCACCTTCAGGTGCCTCTCCTTCGTAGGCCTTAAAATCGTGTGCCTCACCTTCGTGTGCCTCACCATTCTGTGCCTCACTATCGTGGGCCTCACCTTCGTGTGCCTCACCATCGTGGGCCGCACCTTCATGTGCCTCATTATCGTGGGCCTCGCCTTCATGTTCTTCACCACCGTAGGCTTCACCATCGTGGGCCTCACCATCGTGTTCCTCACCTTCGTGTGCCTCACCTTCGTGTGCCTCAACTTCGTGGGCCTCACCAACGTGTGCCGCACCATCGTGGGCCTCACTATCGTGTTCCTCATTTTCGTGTGCCTCACCTTCGTGTGCCTCACCTTCGTGGGACTCACCAACGTGTGCCTCACCATCGTGGGCCTCACCATAGTGTTCCTCACCTTCGTGTGCCTCACCTTCGTGTGCCTCACCATCGTGTGCCTCACCTTCGTTCGCCTCTCCTTCGTCGGACTCACCATCGCGGGCCTCACCAACGTGTGCCTCACCATCGTGGGCCTCACCTTCGTGTGTCTCACCTTTGTGTGCCTCACCTTCGTGTGCCTCACCATCGTGGACTTCACCTTCGTGTGCCTCACCATCGTCTGCCTCACCATCGTGTGCCTCACCATCGTGGGCTTCACCTTCGTGTGCCTCACCATCGTGGGCCTCACCTTCGTGGGCCTCACCATCGTGTGCCTCACCGTCGTGGGCCTCACCATCGTGTTCCTCATTTTTGTGTGCCTCACTTTCGTGTGCTTCACCTTCGTGGGCCTCACCATCGTGTTCCTCACCTTTGTGTGCCTCACTTTCGTGTGCCTCACCTTCGTGGGCCTCACCAACGTGTGCCTCACCATCGTGGACCTCACCATCGTGTTCCTCACCTTCGTGTGCCTCACCTTCGTGTGCCTCACCATCGTGGGCCTCACCTTTGTGGGCCTCACCAACGTGTGCCACACCATCGTGTGCCTCACCTTCGTGTGCCTAACCATCGTGTTCCTCACCTTCGTGTGCCTCACCTTCGTGTGCCTCACCATCGTGTGCCTCACCTTCGTGTGCCTCACCTTCGTCGGACTCACCATCGAGGGCCTCACCTTCGTGTGCCTCACCGTCGTGGGCCTCACCTTCAAATGCCTCACCATCGTGGGTCTCACCTTCGTGGGGCTCACCGTCGTGGGATTCACCTTCGAGTGCCTCACCATCGTGGACCTCACCATCGTGTGCCTCACCTTCGTGTGCCTCACCTTCGTGGGCCTCACCAACGTGTGCCTCACCATCGTGGACCTCACCATCGTGTTCCTCACCATCGTGTGCCTCACCATCGTGGGGCTCACCATCGCGGGGCTCACCTTCATGTGCCTCACCTTCATGTGCCTCACCATCGTGGGCCTCACCATCGTGTGCCTCACCTTCGTGTGCCTCACCTTCGTCGGACTCACCCTCAAATGCCTCACCATCGTGGGCCTCACTTTCATGTGCCTCACCATCGTGGGCCTCACCTTCAAATGCCTCACCATCGTGGGCCTCACCTTCATGTTCGTCACCATCGTGGACCTCACCTTCGTGTGCCTCACCATCGTGGGCCTCACCTTCAAATGCCTCACCATCCTGGGCCTCTACTTCATTTGCCTCGCCATCGTGGGCCTCACCTTCATGTGCGTCATTATTGTGGGCCTCATCTTCGAGGGCCTTACCATCGTGGGCCTCACCATCGTGTGCCTCACCATTGTGTGCCTCACGAACGTGGGCCTCACTTTCATGGGCTTCACTATCGTGGGCCTCACCTTCGTGGGCATCACTTGCGTCTGCCTCACCTTCGTGTGCCTCATCTTCGTTTGCCTCACCTTCCTGTGCCTCACCGTCGTGGGCCTCACCATCGTGTGCCTCACTATCGTCGGCCTCACCATCGTCGGCCTCACCATCGTCGGCCTCACCTTCAAGTGCCTTACCATCGTGGGGCCTCACCATCGTGGGCCTCACCATCGTGGGACTCACCATCGTGAGAATCACCTTCATGTGCCTCACCATCGTGGGACTCACTATCGTGGCCTCATCTTCGTGTGCCTCACCATCGTGGGCCTCACCATCGTGTGCCTCCTCATCGTGTGCCTCACCTTCTTCGGACTCACCATCGCGGGCCTCACCGTCGTGTGCCTCACCATCGTGGGCCTCACCTTCGTGTGTCTCACCATTGTGTGCCTCACCTTCGTGTGCCTCACCATCGTGTGCCTCACCATCATGTGCCTTACCATCGTGGGCCTCAGCATCGTCGGCCTCACCATCGTAGGCTTCACCTTCATGTGCCTCACCATCGTGTGCCTCACCATCGTGGGCCTCACCTTCAGGTGCCTCTCCTTCGTAGGCCTTAAAATCGTGTGCCTCACCTTCGTGTGCCTCACCATTGTGTGCCTCACTATCGTGAGCCTCACCTTCGTGTGCCTCACCATCGTGGGCCGCACCTTCATGTGCCTCATTATCGTGGGCCTCTCCTTCATGTTCTTCACCATCGTAGGCTTCACCATCGTGGGCCTCACCATCGTGGGCCTCACCATCGTGTTCCTCATTTTCGTGTGCCTCACCTTCGTGTGCCTCACCTTCGTGGGCTTCACCAACGTGTGCCATCACCTTCGTGTGCCTCACCTTCGTGTGCCTCACCATCGTGTGCCTCACCTTCGTGTGCCTCACCTTCGTCGGAGTCACCATCGCGGGCCTCGCCTTCGTGTGCCTCACAATCGTGGGCCTCACCATCGTGTTCCTCACCTTCGTGTGCCTCACCTTCGTGTGCCTCACCATCGTGTGCCTCACCTTCGTTTGCCTCACCATCGTCGGACTCACCATCGCGGGCCTCACCAACGTGTGCCTCATCATCGTGGGCCTCACTATCGTGTTCCTCACCTTCGTGTGCCTCACCTTCGTGTGCCTCACCATCGTGTGCCTCACCTTCGTGTGCCTCACCTTCGACGGACTCACCATTTCGGGCCTCACCTTCGTGTGCCTCACTATCGTGGGCCTCACCTTCAAATGCCTCACCATCGTGGGCCTCACCTTCGTGGGGCTCACCGTCGTGGGATTCACCTTCGAGAGCCTCACCATCGGGTGCCTCACCATTGTGGACTACACCATCGTGTGCCTCACCTTCGTGTGCCTCACCTTCCTGGGCCTCACCAACGTGTGCCTCACCATCGTGGGCCTCACCATCGTGTTCCTCACCTTCGTGTGCCTGACCTTCGTGTGCCTCACCTTTGTGGGCCTCACTTTCGTGTGCCTCACCTTCGTCGGACTCGCCATCGCGGGCCTCACCTTCGTGTGCCTCACCATCGAGGGCCTCGCCTTCGTGGGGCTCACCGTCGTGGGATTCACCTTCGAGTGCCTCACCATCGTAGACCTCACCATCGTGTGCCTCACCTTCGTGGTCCTCACCAACGTGGGCCTCACCATCGTGTTCCTCACCTTCGTGTGCCTCACCTTCGTGTGCCTCGCCTTCATGGGCCTCACCAACGTGTGCCTCACCATCGTGGGCCTCACCATCGTGTTTCTCATTTTCGTGTGCCTCACCTTCGTGTGCCTCACCTTCATGGGCCTCACCAACGTGTGCCTCACCATCGTGGGCCTCACCATCGATTTTCTCATTTTCGTGTGCCTCATCTTCGTGAGCCTCACCTTCGTGGGCCTCACCAACGTGTGCCTCTCCATCGTGATCCCTCACCATCGTGTTCCTCACCTTCGTGTGCCTCACCTTCGTTTGCCTCACCATCGTGTGCTTCACCTTCGTGTGCCTCACCTTCGTCGGACTCACCATCGCGGGCCTCACCTTCGTGTGCCTCACCATCGTGGGCCTCACCTTCAAATGCCTCACTATCGTGGTCCTCACCATCGTCGCCCTCACCATCGTCAGCCTCACCTTCAAGTGCCTTACCATCGTGGGCTTCACCATCGTGGGGCGTCACCATCGTGGGCGTCACCTTCGTGGGCCTCACCTTCGTGGGCCTCACCATCGTGGGCCTCACCATCGTGTGCATCACCATCGTGGGGCTCACCATCGTGGGAATCACCTTCATGTGCCTCACCATCCTGGGACTCACTATCGTGGGCCTCATCTTCGTGTGCCTCACCATCGTGGGCCTCACCATCGTGTGCCTCACCATCGTGTGCCTCACCTTCGTAGGACTCACCATCGCGGGCCTCACCTTCGTTTGCCTCACCCTCTTGGGCCCTACCTTCATGTACCTCACCATCGTGTGCCATACTATCGTGGGCCTCACATTCATGTGCCTCACCTTCATGGGCTTCACTATCGTGGGCCTCCCCATCGTGGGCCTCACCTTCGATGGCCTCACTTGCGTATGCTTCACCTTCGTCTGCCTCAACTTCGTCTACCTCACCATCGTGTGCCTCACCTTCGTGTGCCTCACCATCGTGGGTCTCTCCATCGTGGGCCTCACCATTGTGGGACTAACCCTCGTGTTCCTCACCTTTGTCTACCTCACTTTCGTGTGCCTCACCTTCGTCTACCTCACCTTCGTCTTTCTCACCATCGTGTCCCTGACCTTCGTGGGCCTCACCTTCAAATGCCTCACTATCGTGGTCCTCACCATCGTCGCCCTCACCATCGTCAGCCTCACCTTCAAGTGCCTTACCATCGTGGGCTTCACCATCGTGGGGCGTCACCATCGTGGGCGTCACCTTCGTGGGCCTCACCTTCGTGGGCCTCACCATCGTGGGCCTCACCATCGTGTGCATCACCATCGTGGGGCTCACCATCGTGGGAATCACCTTCATGTGCCTCACCATCCTGGGACTCACTATCGTGGTCCTCATCTTCGTGTGCCTCACCATCGTGGGCCTCACCATCGTGTGCCTCACCATCGTGTGCCTCACCTTCGTCGGACTCACCATCGCGGGCCTCACCTTCGTTTGCCTCACCCTCTTGGGCCCTACCTTCATGTACCTCACCATCGTGTGCCATACCATCGTGGGCCTCACCTTCGAGGGCCTCACCTTCGAGGGCCTCACTTGCGTATGCCTCACCTTCGTCTGCCTCAACTTCGTCTACCTCACCATCGTGTGCCTCACCTTCATGGGCTTAACTATCGTGGGCCTCCCCATCGTGGGCCTCACCTTCGAGGGCCTCACTTGCGTATGCCTCACCTTCGTCTGCCTCAACTTTGTCTACCTCACCATCGTGTGCCTCACCTTCATGTGCCTCACCATCGTGGGTCTCTCCATCGTGGGCCTCACCATTGTGGGACTAACCCTCGTGTTCCTCACCTTCGTCTACCTCACCTTCGTCTGCCTCACCTTCGTCTACCTCACCTTCGTCTTTCTCACCATCGTGTCCCTCACCTTCGTGGGCCTCACCTTCGTTGGCCTCTCCTTCCTGTTCCTCACCATCGTTTGCCTCACTATCGTGGGCCTCACTATCGTCGGCCTCACCATCGTGGGCTTCACCATCGTGGGGCGTCACCATCGTGGGCCTCACCATCGTGGGCTTCACATTCGTGTGCCTCACCAACGTGGGCCTCACCTTCGTAGGCCTCACCATCGTGGGCTTCACCATCGTGTGCCTCACCTTCGTGTTCCTCACTTTCGTCGGACTCACCATCGCGGGCATCACCTTCGTGTGCCTCACCATCGTGGGCCTCACCTTCAAATGCCTCACTATCGTGGGCCTTACCATCGTCGGCCTCACCATCATCGGCCTCACCTTCAAGTGCCTTACCATCGTGGTGCGTCACCATCGTGGGCCTCACCTTCGTGGGCCTCACCTTCGTGGGCCTCACCATCGTGGGCCTCACCATCGTGTGCATCACCATCGTGGGGCTCACCATCGTGGGAATCACCTTCATGTGCCTCACCATCGTGGGACTCACTATCGTGGGCCTCATCTTCGTGTGCCTCACCATCGTGGGCCTCACCATCGTGTGCCTCACCATCGTGTGCCTCACCTTCCTCGGACTCACCATCGCGGGCCTCACCTTCGTGTGCCTCACCATCGTGGGCCCTACCTTCATGTGCCTCACCATCGTGTGCCATACCATCGTGGGCCTCACATTCATGTGCCTCACCTTCATGGGCTTCACAATCGTGGGCCTCCCCATCGTGGGCCTCACCTTCGTGGGCCTCACTTGCGTCTGCCTCACCTTCGTCTGCCTTAACTTCGTCTACCTCACCATCGTGTCCCTCACCTTCGTGTGCCTCACCATCGTGGGTCTCTCCATCGTGGGCCTCAACATTGTGGGACTAACCCTCGTGTTCCTCACCTTCGTCTACGTCACCTTCGTCTGCCTCACCTTCGTCTACCTCACCTTCGTCTTTCTCATCATCGTGTTCCTCACCTTCGTGGGCCTCACCTTCGCGGGCCTCTCCTTCGTGTGCCTCACCATCGTGTGCCTCACCTTCGTGTGCCTCATCTTCGTGTGCCTCACCTTCCTGTGCCTCACCATCGTGAGCCTCACCATCGTTTTCCTCACTATCGTGGGCCTCACTATCGTCGGCCTCACCATCGTGGGCCTTACCTTCATGTGCCTTACCATCGTGGGCTTCACCATCGTGGGGCGTCACCATCGTGGGCCTCACCATCGTGGGCTTCACATTCGTGTGCCTCACCAACGTGGGCCTCACCTTCGTAGGCCTCACCATCGTGTGCCTCTCCTTCGTGTGCCTCATCTTCGTGTGCCTCACCATCGTGGGCCTCACCATCGTGTGCCTCACCATCGTGGGCCCTACCTTCATGTGCCTCACCATCGTGTGCCATACCATCGTGGGCCTCACATTCATGTGCCTCACCTTCATGGGCTTCACTATCGTGGGCCTCCCCATCGTGGGCCTCACCTTCGTGGGCCTCACTTGCGTCTGCCTCACCTTCGTCTTCCTGAACTTCGTCTACCTCACCATCGTGTCCCTCACCTTCGTGTGCCTCACCATCGTGGGTCTCTCCATCGTGGGCCTCAATATTGTGGGACTAACCCTCGTGTTCCTCACCTTCGTCTACCTCACCTTCGTCTGCCTTACCTTCGTCTACCTCACCTTCGTCTCTCTCACCATCGTGTCCCTCACCTTCGTGTGCCTCACCGTCGAGGGCCTCACCATAGTGGGCCTCACCATTGTGGGCCTAACCTTCTTGGGCCTCACCTTCGTGGACCTCTCCTGTGTGTGCATCACCAGTGTGGGCCTCACCTTCGTGTGCCTCACATTCGTGGGCCTCACAATCGTGTGCATCACCGTCGTGGGCCTCACCTTCATGTGGCTCACTTTCGTGGGCCCCTACCTTCGAGTGCATCACAATCGGGTGCCTCACCTTCGTGAGCCTCACCTTATATGTGCTTCACCATCGTGGGCCTCACCTTCATGTGCTTCACCATCGTGGTCTTCACCATCGTGGGGCGTCACCATCGTGGGCTTCACCATCGTGGGCCGTCATCATCGTGTGGCCTCACCATCGTGGGCTTCACATTCGTGTGCCTCACCAACGTGGGCCTCACCTTCGTAGGCCTCACCATCGTGTGCCTCACCTTCGTGTGCCTCATCTTCGTGTGCCTCACCATCGTTGGTCTCACCATCGTGGGCCTCACCATCGTGGGCCTCACCTTCATGTGCCTCACCATCGTCGGCCTCACCTTCCTGTGCCTCACCATCGTGGGCCTCAGATTCATGTGCCTCACCATCGTGGGCCTCACCTTCATGTCCCTCACCATCGTGGGCCTCTCCCTCGTAGTCATTACCATAATGTGCCTTACCTTCGTGTGCCTCACCATCGTTTGCCTCACCATCGTGGGCCTCACCTTCGTGTGCCTCACCTTCGTGTGCCTCACCATCGTGTGCCTCACCATCGTGGGCCTCACCATCGTGGGCCTCACCTTCATGTGCCTCACCATCGTGGGCCTCGCCTTCATGTGCCTCACCATCGTGGGCCTCACCTTCATGTGTTTCTCCATCGTCGGCATCCCTTCGTAGACCTTACTATCGTTTGCCTCACCTTCGTATGCCTCACCATCGTGGGCCTCACCATCGTGGGCCTCACCATTGTGGGACTAACCGTCGTGTTCCTCACCTTCGTCTGCCTAACCTTCGTCTGCCTCACTTTCGTCTTCCTCACCTTCGTCTTTCTCACCATCGTGTCCCTCACCTTCGGGAGCCTCCCCATCGTGGGCCTCACCATCGTGGGCCTCACCATTGTGGGCCTAACCTTCGTGGGCCTCACCTTCGTGGGCCTCAACTTCGCGGGCCTCTCCTTTGTGTGCATCACCAGTGTGGGCCTCACTTTCGTGTGCCTCACATTCGTGGGCCTCACCTTCGTGTGCATCACCGTCGTGGGCCTCACCTTCGTGTGCCTCACCTTCGAGTGCATCACCATCGGGTGCCTCACCTTCGTGGGCGTCACCTCCGTGTGCCTCACTTTTGTGGGCCCTTACCTTCGAGTTCATTGCCATCGGGTGCCTCACCTTCGTGGGCCTCACCTTATATGTGCCTCATTATCGTGGGCACCACCTTCATGTGCTTCACCATCGTGGGCTTCACCATCGTGGAGCGTCACCATCGTGGGCTTCACCATCGTAGTCTCCACCTTCGTGTGCCTCAGGATCGTGGGTCTCTTCTTCGTAGGCCTCACCGTCGTGTGCCTCACCATTGTGGGCCTCACCTTCATGTGCCTCACTATCGTGGGCCTCACCTTCATGTGCTTCACCATCGTGGTCCTCATTTTCGCGTGCCTCACCATCGTGGGCCTCACCTTCATGTGCCTTACCATCGTGGGCCTCACCTTCATGTGCCTCACCATCGTGGGCCTCACCTTCATGTGCCTCACCATCGTGGGCCTCACCATAGTGTGCCTCACTTTCGTGGGCCTCGCCTTCGTGGGCCTCACCATCGTGGGCTTCACCATCGTGGGGCGTCACCATCGTGGGCCTCACCATCGTGGGCTTCACATTCGTGTGCCTCACCAACGTGGGCCTCACCTTCGTAGGCCTCACCATCGTGTGCCTCACCTTCGTGTGCCTCATCTTCGTGTACCTCACCATCATGGGCCTCACCATCGTGTGCCTCACCATCGTGGGCCTCACCATCGTCGGCCTCACCATCGTGGGCCTCACCTTCATGTGCCTAACCATCGTGGACTTCACCTTCATGTGCCTGACCATCGTGAGCCTCACCTTCATGTGCCTCACCATCGTGGGCCTCACATTCATGTGCCTCACCATCGTGGGCCTCACTTTCATGTGCCTCTCCATCGTGGGCCTCACCTTCATGTGCCTCACCATCGTGGGCCTCCCCTTCATGTGCCTCACCATCGTGGGCCTCACCTTCATGTGCCTCACCATCGTGGGCCTCACCTTCAGGTGCCTCACCATCGTGGTCGACACCTTCAGGTGCCTCACCATCGTGGGCCTCACCTTCGTTTGCCTCACCATCGTGGGACTGACCATCGTGGGCCTCACCTTCATGTGCCTCACCATCGTGGGCCTCACCTTCATGTGCCTCACCATCGTGTGCCTCCCCTTCATGTTCTTCACTATCGTGGACTTCACCATCGTCGGCCTCACCATCGTGGGCCTCACCTTCATGTGCTTCACCATCGTGGGCCTCACCTTCATTTGTCTCTCCATCGTAGGCTTCACCTTCGTAGACCTTACCATCGTGTGCCTCACCTTCGTGTGCCTCACCATCGTGTGCCTCACCATCGTGGGCCTCACTTTCGTGTGCCTCACCTTCGTGTGCCTCACCATCGTGGGCCTCATTATCGTGGGCCTCACCTTCATTTACCTCACCATCGTGGGCCTCACCTTCATGTGCCCCACCATCGTGGCCTCTCCTTCATGTTCTTCACCATCGTAGGCTTCACCATTCTAAGCCTCACCATCGTGGGTCTCACCTTCGTGAGCCTCGTGGGCCTCACCATCGTGGGGCTCACCTTCGTGGGCTTCAACTTCGTCGGCCTCACCTTCGTGTGCGTCAACTTTGTGTGCCTCACCTTCGTAGGCCTCACCATCGTGTGCCTAACCATCGTGGGCTTCACCATCGTGGGCCTCACCTTCGTGTGCCTCACCTTCGTGTGCCTCACCTTTGTATGCCTTACCTTCTTGTGCCTTACCATCGTGGACTTCACCTTCATGTGCCTGACCATCGTGAGCCTCACCTTCGTGTGCCTTACCATCGTGGGCTTCACCATCGTGGGGCGTCACCATCGTGGGCTTCACATTCGTGTGCCTCACCAACGTGGGCCTCACCTTCGTAGGCCTCACCATCGTGTGCCTCACCTTCGTGTGCCTCATCTTCGTGTACCTCACCATCATGGGCCTCACCATCGTGTGCCTCACCATCGTGGGCCTCACCATCGTCGGCCTCACCATCGTGGGCCTCACCTTCATGTGCCTAACCATCGTGGACTTCACCTTCATGTGCCTGACCATCGTGAGCCTCACCTTCGTGTGCCTCATCTTCGCGTGCCTCACCATCGTGGGCCTTACCATCGTGTGCCTCACCATCGTTGGCCCTACCTTCATGTGCCTCACCATCGTGTGCCATACCATCGTGGGCCTCACATTCATGTGCCTCACCTTCATGGGCTTCACTTTCGTGGGCCTCCCCATCGTGGGCCTCACCTTCGTGGGCCTCCCCATCGTGGGCCTCAACTTCGTGGGCCTCACTTGCGTCCGCCTCACCTTCGTCTTCCTCAACTTCGTCTACCTCACCATCCTGTCCCTCACCTTCGTGTGCCTCACCATCGTGGGTCTCTCCATCGTGGGCCTCAATATTGTGGGACTAACCCTCGTGTTCCTCACCTTCGTCTACCTCACCTTCGTCTGCCTCACCTTCGTCTACCTCACCTTCGTCTCTCTCACCATCGTGTCCCTCACCTTCGTGTGCCTCACCGTCGAGGGCCTCACCATAGTGGGCCTCACCATTGTGGGCCTAACCTTCTTGGGCCTCACCTTCGTGGACCTCTCCTGTGTGTGCATCACCAGTGTGGGCCTCACCTTCGTGTGCCTCACATTCGTGGGCCTCACCTTCATGTGGCTCACTTTCGTGGGCCCCTACCTTCGAGTGCATCACAATCGGGTGCCTCACCTTCGTGAGCCTCACCTTATATGTGCTTCACCATCGTGGGCCTCACCATCGTGGGGCGTCACCATCGTGGGCTTCACCATCGTGGGCTTCACCATCGTGGGGCGTCACCATCGTGTGGCCTAACCATCGTGGGCTTCACATTCGTGTGCCTCACCAACGTGGGCCTCACCTTCGTAGGCCTCACCATCGTGGGCTTCACATTCGTGTGCCTCACCAACGTGGGCCTCACCTTAATAGGCCTCACCATCGTGTGCCTCACCTTCGTGTGCCTCATCTTCGTGTGCTTCACCATCGTGGGCCTCACCATCGTGGGCCTCACCATCGTGGGCCTCACCTACATGTGCCTCACCATCGTCGGCCTCACCTTCCTGTGCCTCAACATCGTGGGCCTCAGATTCATGTGCCTCACCATCGTGGGCCTCACCTTTATGGCCCTCACCATCGTGGTCTGGGCCTCACCTTCATGTGCCTTACCATCGTGGGCCTCACCTTCAAATGCCTCACCATCGTGGTCCTCACCTTCATGTGCCTCACCTTCGTGGACTTCACCATCATGTGCCTCAGCATCGTGGGCGTCTCCTTCATGTTCTTCACCATCGTGGGCATCACTATCGTGGGCCTCACCAGCGTGGGCCTCACCTTCAGGTGCCTCACCATCGTGGGCCTCACATTCATGTGCTACACCATTGTGGACCTCACATTCATGTGCCTCACCTTCTTGTGCTTCACTATCGTGGGCCTCACCATCGTGGGCCTCACCTTCATGGGCCTCACCTGCATCTGTCTCACCTTCGTCTTTCTCACCATTGTGTCCCTCACCTTCGTGTGCCTCACCATCGTGGGCTTCACCATCGTGGGCCTCACCAAAGTGGGACTAACCCTCGTGTTCCTCACCTTCGTCTACCTAACCTTCTTCTGCCTCACTTTCGTCTACCTCACCTTCGACTTTCTCACCATCATGTCCCTCACCTTCGTGTGCCTCACCGTTGAGGGTCTCACCATCGTGGGCCTCACCATTGTGGGCCTAACCTTCGTGGGCCTCTCCTTTGTGTACATCACCAGTGTGGGCCTCACTTTCGTGTGCCTCACATTCGTGGGCCTCACCTTCGTGTGCATCACCGTCGTGGGCCTCACCTTCGTGTGCCTCACCATCGTGGGCACCACCTTCATGTGCCTCACTTTCATGTGCTTCACCTTCGTGTGCCTCAGCATCGTGGGCCTCTTCTTTGTGTGCCTCACCTTCGTGTGCCTCATCTTCCTGTGCTTCACCTTCGTGTGTCTCACCATCGTGGGCCTCACCATTGTGTGCCTCACTATCGTGGGGCTCACCATCATCGGCCTCAATATCGTGGGCCTCTCCTTCATGTGCCTCACCATCGTGGGCCTCACCTTCGTGGTCCTCATTTTCATGTGCCTCACCATCGTGGGCGTCACCTTTATGTGCCTCACTATCGTGGGCCTCACCTTCATGTGCCTCACCATCGTGGGCCTCACCTTCATGTGCCTCACCATCGTGGGCCTCACCTTCACCCAGCAAACACAAATCATCTAGGAAACGTTCGTTTATCTCTTCCCGTAGGTGTGGGAATGATTTTCATTGAGAATGGTGCAGGAGAGCCTTTGAGAAGCTATTAATCAAAAAATCCAAACTCAAAGGTTTTATAATAAATTGTTTTTAACAACTATTTTGTTCCTAATGTATTACAAATAGTTTTTACATGTTTAAATATAAAATTCATGGTGTTATTTTGTAAAATTCATTAATAAATTGTGAATGATATATATTGGCTCAGTGAAACGTTCAAAATCCATTTAGTTATAATATATGATCAGAAAAAAATAATTTTCCAAATTTTCTAAAAATCGCTCTTTTTACACAATTTGACTCCTTATGCATTCCAATAAACACTAATATCATGTTTAAATATATAATTTATGTATTATTCCCTAAAATAATTTATATAAATTGCATATTCTAGCTTTGGACTAACAAAAGTGGTGAACAATTTCTTTAGTATTTCGCCATCCATGTATTTAAAAGCAATTCTGAAGTTGGAATGCATGGCATAGGCTCCTCACACAATGTTCTTTATGTGGTCCTCAGGTGATACTTTTCTATTTAGAACTACCCCTAGATCTCTTTCTTTATCAGAATTCCTTAAAGATTTCTCACATGGTAGTGGTTGTTATATGTAATGGTGGAGGTTGTAATGTGTGTGTGGTGGTAGTTGTAGTGTGTGGTGGGCTTCTTATATGTGCTATCAATCTGCTGTGTGGTGCCTATTATTTTTGTTTAAATTACCAGTTGATGCCGGCACGGCAGTCGATGCCAACACGGCAGTCGTCGATGCCGGCACGATGCCGGTCAGTCGATGCACGGCAGTCGGTCGTCGATGCCGGCACAGTATGTGCTGTCTGTGAATTCCTCAACCCTTATATCAGGCAGTTTATATATTAGAATAATAATTAGGTTTATTTTTCTTCCTTAATTCCAAGAACCTCTACCACCACATTGAGTTTAGTAGCTCTGTGCACGTCAGGTGCTGTTTAATATACAGACCTACCCATTTGACCTAGTTTCTCTATCACATCTATATAAATTGTAGTTGGGAATCCAGATTTTACTATCCATGTAATCTTTTTTATTTCTGTTTATATATATAATTGATTTTTTCTAACAGTTAAACAGAAAATAGTTTAATGGTATTTATTTATTAAATTTATATTAGTATTTATTTATTTTGGTATTTATTTATTATTTATATTATCAATTGAACTACAGTAGTTAGTTTTTATCATCCGAATGCACCAATATGTCTTCATTCTTCCCAGATGAAGGAACTAGGTAATGTTCATCAGCTGAATGCACCATCTGAAGCTTTTCCACACTTGATATTGATTCCACACTTAAATACCATTGCAAGTATTTCACAGCACACCAGGCTAAAAACAAACTCCAAAATAGCACCTGCCTATCAGTTTACAATCAAAATATCCTCAAAAAAGCAAGAGTAACGCCAGTCCATAAAGGAGGCAATCCGGCGGACATAAACAATTATAGACCAATATCAAATCTACCCATTCTATCAAAAATATTTGAAAAAATTATTGTAATTATTGACTGTAATTACCATATTATGTATCCTCACATTCCCAATGTACCTTCTTGTATATGCATAAATAAATAAATAAATAAATAAATAAATAAATAAATAAATAAATTAAATAAATATAACGCACTTCTCGGCCTACTATGCCGGACTGGACTTGTGATCCTGTGGTCCTAGATTCGATCTCAGGCACTGGCGAGAAACAATGGGCAGAGTTTCTTTCACCCTATGTCCCTGTTACCTAGCAGTAAAATAGGTACCTGGGTGTGAGTCAGTTATTACAGGATGCTTCCTGGGGATGGAGGCCTGGTCGAGGACCAGGCCGCAGGCACACTAAAAAAAAAAAAAATTATGAATTATTATTCAATAACTGTTAGAGTGCCACAGGGCAGCATCTTGGTACCTCTCCTATTTCTTATATACATCAATGATCTGCCTATTGTCTCTAACATTTGTTTCAAACTGCAGGTACTGCAGGCAACTACAACAGCACTACTGAACCGGTACAAACTGCAGGTACTGCAGGCAACTACTACAACACTACTGAACCGGTACAAACTGCAGGTACTGCAGGCAACTACTACAACACTACTGAACCGGATCATTCACGTAGAAACAAAGGAAAATATCTACAGAAAGGTAATGTGAAAAAATAACATGCCGCATTTTTTTTTTTTTATTTCTATGGTACAATACTTTGCTCAGTTGTTAATTTTATATGAAGTTCTCACAAATTCATTAATAATAGGTGTTTTTACATTGAACTTTATTACCATCCTTATCTCTAATTTTAAAAAATGTGATATGAACCGCCAAATTCTATTATTTGTGGCTACGCCTATGGTGTCCCATCCCAGCACTGTCATATAATGCTTTGAAACTACTGATGGTTTTGGCCTCCATCACCCTCTCACCTAACTTGTCCCAACCGTGTCTACCACGCTGCTTGCGAAAGTTAATTTTCTAATATTTCTGTAGCATCTTTGTTTGGTTACCTTTTACAATATCTTCTTTTTATTATACCATCTAGTTTTGGCATTTTATGCCTCTAACCTGGAAGCCACTTATTGGCATGTCTATACCTTTTCCAGTTTGTTGATGTGATTCTTTAGATATGGGCACCATACAACCGCTGCATATTCCAGCTGTGGTCTAACAAAAGTTTTAAACAATTTCTTTTGTATTTGACCTATGTATTTAAAAGCAATTCATAAATGTAAGCAAGTGTAACATTTGTCTCCAGGTGTTCTTCACATTTAGCTTTAATTATTTTTTCCAATATTTTCACTTACACTTGTAATACAGGGTTCGAGGTTCCCTATAGTGTCCTTTATTGAAATAGAGTTTAACAACCATTTCAATGTCCCTATTTTCTTTTAGATTATATCTCAACATATAATTAATGTCCAACAGGACATGATTACTCTTTCCAAAGGGAGGATGGTATTAAATATCAAATATCTCTTCTCCTTTTTTTGTGAATATTTGATCTAGTACTGATGGAATAATTTATATAATAATCACTAGAAATTATTTAGATAAGAATTTGAATTTATGCTTGTCTTTGTTTTGGCATGACTCTATTTCCACATGTTACATTTCTGCATGTCTCCAATTCTGGAAGTGTTCACTTTTGCATGTGCCTGACAAGGATGTTATATGCACCAGCATTAATTATTACTCACTCTTGTAACAACCCCCACACCAGCTTTTCTCAGCAGACAGTTTCCCACAAATTGTATATAATGCATGACTTATTTTTAGAATTTTAATACATATTGCATCTGTCAATACATTATTAACAATAATATAGGTAATATGGTAGTCTAATGTAGAAATTTGACACTTTAACAGAATGTACGAGTATAAACGTAATGTAATAATTCAATAATTACTATTTGTAGTTTTATGTATTTAAAACTATTTGGTAAATATTTTCTATACAATGCTAATACGCTTCCACCCCTGACAGAATCTGTGGTGCAAGCCTTACCTTGTTGAGCGCAATAAGAAAATTGTCTTCAAAACCTGGAATATTTGCAATGTAATATTAAGTAAGTAAATTTTATAATTTTTGTATTATATATGTATGTGTATATACTGTATATGGATATATGTGTATATATTTGCATATCAAGTATTGCTGATATGTTGAAGCATGTACTGTATTGGTGGAAACAGATACACGGTTAAGATTGCCAATTTACTGTAGTCTAGTCTAATTCAATCATTTTTAGTAATCTTTGAGAACATTTATGGTTGAAGTTGCCGGTGCCAGTGGACCACTTTGTGCTTTAGGCCTGGTGGAGCTTGGTCCACCAGGCTGTTGTTTGGAGTGGCCCGCAGATCCACATACAGTCTGCATATGATATACAGTCTGTTGATCAATTGAACTACAGTAGTTAGTTTTTATCATCTGAATGCACCAATATGTCTTCATTCTTCCCAGATGAAGGAACTTGGTAATGTTCATCATCTGAATGCACCATCTGAAGCTTTTCCACACTCATGATACACGAGAGGTTTAAAAAACTTTTAAAACTTTTAAAACTTTTTGACCTATGTATTTAAAAGCAATTCAAAAGTTAAAAAGTGTAGCATAGGCCCCTCGCAGAATGTTCTTAATATGATCCTCAGGTTATAGTTTTCTATCTAAAACCACCCCTAGATCTCTTTCTTGATCATAATTCTTTATAGATCTCTGTGGCTCGATCATAGAAACTGAGTAAATTCGTTACACTGGACCTTCCAGATCGAATACCATGCTGACAGTCTGATATATCATTCAGTACGTCTGCATCTAAAATTGAGCAATACCGGATTTATTATTTGGTTTTATAAATTTTA